AAGAGCAGTGAGGAGTTTTCACTCCCCCAGCCAGGGGAATTCAGGTTGGTTTTGTCTTGTGCATGTCTTTGTTTCTATGATCTCAGGGGTAGTTTTTCCTTTTTTTCCTTAAAAAAAAACAAGCTGCAGCACATTTCCTAAGCAAATGTGCTGCAGCTCCCATGGCACAGCACATCTTGCTGAACTCCCCGCTGGGTACTCATAGAATTGCAGAATGGTTTGAGCTGGAAGGGACCTCAGACATCATCCAGTTCAAACCTCCCTGCAGTGGGCATGTTTGCTACCCACTAGAGCAGGCTGCCCAGGTCCCCATCCGGCCTGGCCTTGAACACTGCCTGGGATGTAACATCCACTACCTCTCTGAGCAGCCTGTTCCAGTGCCTCACCACCCTCTGAGTAAGGAGTGCTCAGCAGTGTGAGAGCAGCTGAATGGCTGACTCAGGTGCCCCAGTACCCTGAAGCCAGAAGCTTTTAGCAAAGAGTTTGATCAGCAAGGCACAACAGATACACAGTCACTTTGTTCAGTTTGGCAGTCAGTATCTGGGGCCTGTTCCTGTTAAAAGGGAGCTTTCCATCCCTGAGATGGTTTTGTGTTGCAGCTGGACATGCAGAAAGGTTAAAGGAAGAGATTAAAACTAAAACCCTCAACCCTCAGTGTTAGCTGCCTCGCCATGGAGATGGATGCATCCTTCATACCAGCTGGGAGGGCAGCTAGGCAGGAGGAGAAGCGTGTGGGGGTGATATTGGCTTCTCTTCCTCCAGGCATGTACTGAGATTAGATGGGAGGGGGGAGTGGCTGAGCGGTGCTTTACACAGATATGCACATAGGGCAGAGCAGGAGAGAGGCATCCATGGTGCAGATCTCTGGGGCTGAGGGTTTGCATTCTTTCCCATAGCTGAGAAGATAGCTTGAAGTAGCACAATCTACTCTCGTTAGGTTTGATTTTAATTTATGCTAATTGGGAAACAATATGATATGTCAAATGCCTACTGCCTGCTGTGTGTGCAGTGGGGAAAACAACAACACAAAACACAACAACACAACAAACCAAATACCCAACATGTGCTCTTGGTGGCCAGTTCATTTGTAGCCCTTGGGCTGCATCAAAGCAGTGAGCTGTGCTCTCCCAGGGGCATGGCAGCTTCCTCTCAATCTGCATTGGTACCAAAGCAATAGGCCCACGCTCTCCTGGACATAATTCAGTCCATGTGACTTTTCAGGAATGCAGTTACATTTCGTACTGCTATTTTGCTGAAGTGTAAGGGGGCTGCTGAAATGAACCTGCCGTAGCTGTGCATAACTTGGTGGGGCTTTGCTCAGCTCCAGCTGGATGGGAACTAGATGAGCTGTGCAGGTCACGTTGCTGCTTTTCCACACTTTAAGTTATGAGTTTGTGCAATTAGAACTGTTAACCTGTGTTACTTGGTGTGAGTTAGACATCTTCAAAGATGAATTATAACCAGTCATTCTAGAAAATGAGTGATGGCAGGGTGACAGTGACCACTGGGCCTGGGTAACTTAGCACATCTCCAGTCTGAAAACTTTAGTGCTGCAGATGAGAAGCTATGTTTTCCCTACCATTGAAACATCAGGAATCTGTTGCTGTTTCAGCCTTCATCCAATTAACTGTGATCCTGAAGGGAGACTGATGGTCATACAGTCGCTGCTGTGGGAAGGAAATGTGAAGAGATCTTGTAGGCACAAGGGGTATGTAGGCCCTGGGTCCCATGCAGGGGTTAAGCCATCTTGTTTCAGTGGGGAAGGAAGCCTGTTTTGCATCCACTAACTATGCATTTACCTTGCTTTACACCATGCTGCTGCAAGGCAAGGCCAAGCAGTTGGGTTGTGCAGCATCGGCTGCAGGAAGTGTTTCTTGTTGTTTTGATGGAGCTGTTGCCTGGTGGGGTGGGGATGGCAGAAGTAGAAGTGCAGCTTTCTCTAAGGCTAAACTGGGAGACCAGCTTGAGCTCTAGAGAGCTCCTGTTGTTAGAATCCTGCTTTCACCTTAATTCTGAAAATGCTATGTATGTTTTTACTTCATTCCTCTAGTGTGCAGTTTTGTTTATAGCACGTATTCTTGCAAGGCATATGATGAGATGCAAACGTGACATCCATATGTAAAATGGGCAAAAGAAATGGAACGGAATTCAGATCAACAGTTGGAATGCAGGATGTTGTTAATGCAACTTCTGCTAAATATATATAAAAATTGAGGTACCACATACTGTGTGACAGGAAGGGAGCTTTTTGCTCACCCTCACTCAGCAGGACATACCAACAGAAGGTACCTGAGGATAGATAGTCTTGCTGAGTGTTTTTTTGGTGCATCTTTCCTACAAGACTCCTCTCACAGTATGTTCATGCCTTGTAAACTTCCACTTTAGGTGCGCGGGAGAAAATAAGGAATGATGTGGTAGTGAAATGATCAGAATGGAATGCTGCCTTCTCTTTCTTTCCTTTTGCTCTGCTCTTACCTCCATCTCATGCTGAAAAGTAGAAGATCTTCAGTCATTTTTCCCACAAGAGATGGATTATGCTCTTGTGATTCTTCCTTCCCATCCTTTCAGCAGGTAGATGCATGCTCTGCATAGGTGGCAGTGGTAAGCTTAATTCTTGCTGGTAGAGGTTCTCCTCACATGATTTTATTCGTTCAGGCAATGATGTGGCTTAGATATCCTGTGCAAGCACATCTTGTTCCACTTGTGTCTGCAAACAAGCGCAGCTAAACACGTGTATTTTTCACTTTGGAATTCTGCTTGGCACAGCTGACCATACCAAACAGAGGTGTCCGTGCCGGGTGCTCTCTTCCTGTGGTTTGTTGCCCACGTGGAACCTCTGCTGTCTGTGTGTGGGGCACTGTGAAGGGGAGTGCTGGGATCTGAGCGCTCCACTCCTGGGCTGTGCTGTCTGTAAGAAGCGGCTCATCCAAGCTTTTCTAACAGTTGTTGAGTGCTGGTGGTCATGTTGAAATAGGCTGTTGTCTGCTTTCTGGTACTCGGAAGACCAGGTGGCCATCACTTCACAGGACTATTTTCTGTCTCCACTAAACTTTCCTTCTCTCTTCATGTAGCTCTGTTTTTGATCCTAATGTATCAACACTGAAGTGAAGCAGAATGCATCCTACAACATCACTGGGGACGGCTCATTGTGAGACTGTTTCTGGAGTGACTGACCTCTGAGTAGTGCTGTGGGAAGGCTGAAGTTGGTGGGGCTGAACGTTGGCTGGGCACACAAAGGGGACAGGCAGTTGGCCTGCGAGGCTCCGTGCTCCTGCATTAACAGCCCCTCCAGGACTGCCAGGACAGCTCTTATAATTTGCTCCTGCTCTTCTCGTGGTAGAGATCTCCAACAAAGACTGAAATATGATGCAGGAGATTCATAAATTCCTGCAAGCGTTATAAGTTCTTTGATAAAACAAAAGCAGGACACCTTGTTCTGCTGTTTCCCACTATTGTTGCTGCACTGCTCGTAGGGTAAGCATCCAGCAAGGTCACACTGCACCCTTGTGGACGGCACGCTGTGTCTGAGCCATAGGTTACCTCCCAGGCAGTGGCAAAGGAGCAGCGATGGTTTGGTACAACCTCTCCTGCAGCAAGGTGCATCCCAGCAGAGCCATCTGTGTCCCTGTGAGGTCAGCGGTCACTGAGAACCTGCTTGTATTGTTTTCTTTCTCTTGCATGTTATCATGCTTAAAATACTTCAGTTGAATATAGATTACTGGTTGAGCTTACGGAATATACACTGACAGCTGGAAGACTGGTCTTGCGTTGCTGATTGGTCAGTTACTGAATCTTTTAGCTTACAATGAAGATAACGTTGCAGAGCACCTGCAACAGGAATCTTATGTCAGCTGGGCTTTAGGTTCCTGTGATTTAGTTCACTGCTCATGCACTGCTAAGATGAGACTCTGCTGTTTCCTGTTAGTAATGCACATTTGGTTATCAGAACTTCAGAACGTCCTTTCTGTCAGAATGTCTTTGTGATGAGCCTTGGCAAAAAAGTATTTCTTCCCTAAAATGACACTGTGTTTCTTCCTCGTTGTTTTTTTTGGATCTTTTGTGACCTACCTGCATTCTGTGGCGTGGCTGTACTTCTGCGGCAGAGGCACAAGTAGCAGTCCCAGCTGCAGCAGTTGGAAATGCTTTTGCTTTTTGCACATCAGGGCTCAAGATTAAAGTCATCTCAGTGACAGCTTTAGCTTTTTTAAATATTACTGTTATTATACTTCTGTCGTGCAACAGTGAGACATGGTGTCCGTCAGATGCTCCCTGCACTTGCTGCCTGAAAATGACGTTGCCTTAGGAAATTATGGGGAGATTAAAAAAGAGAAGTGTTTGTGCTGGCTGGGAGGGCTCCCTGCCATTTGTCAGTGTCTTTGGGAGCTGGAGCTCGCTTGTGAAAATTCCCTACAAACAAACGCTTCACTGATGAAAAATGTGAGGTGCCTGTGCCTTCTGCCCTTCCTGTTGAAGGATTACTGGAGCTTTTTTGTTCTTTACATCTCATCTGTGGTATTGAGGCTTTAGCGTCCTTCTTGAGGGTTGAATTTGGCCTTTAAATTTCTAAAAACTTGATTGTTATTACCAAGCAACAATAGCTTCTTCTGTGCTTAAATTTATAGGAACAAGGAATTCCCTGGTTGTGTTTCCAGCTGCTGGACTTGGAACAGGAAGCTGCCTGTAACACTGGCACTGCTGTACGTGGTACACGATCTAAACTTCTATGAAGCAGCAAAAGCAGAAAATGAGGTGCTTTGTTATGGGCAATCCTCAATCACCCTGGGTGGAAAGTTGTGGAATATCGTGTACCACACATCATATATCCAAATTTTTCTATGTACAAAAGACAGAGCACACTTTGTTTGCTTTCCCTGATTGGGAATTACAGCTTTGAGGTTTTGATGGTTCCCAGTTTGTCTTCCAGGAAACCTCTGAAGTTTATAAACTTTATAAAGTTTTCTAGTTTCTTACCACTGACCCCAAATCTCAATGATTCCCAGCTGCCTTCTTACTGGGACAAAGAAGCTGTTGCCTCTCACGTGGTAGTATGGAGTGGACCCAGATCCTGCCTGGAGGACCAAGAAGACTGACCCCAGCACTGTCCCTTCATCTCCTTTGCTATGGAAGCAAACAACAAGCATCAGAAGTAAACCAACACGTTTCATGGTTTGTATTCTTTTCTTCAATTTATGCTTGGCCTCTTTGGAAGTTATTGCTGGAGGATGCTCTGACTAGCTAGCTTTATAAGAATGTGAACACTTTTTTTTTTTTTTTTAAGAGATACTGCTTAAGAGGGGAAAAAAAAAAAGCAGATTATATGCATTTAAGTTTTTCAAGTAATATATCCCACTCCACGTCCACATGGCCAGGTTCCTCAGGTCAAAGGCACTGGCTGTAATTCCAGATCTGGAAGGCGTTCTACATTTCAAGGCTTTTGCTGTGGCTCAAGAGAAGTCTTCGTACAGAATACAAAGCTGTGCTGCTGTGTTGATACAGCAGTCACTGAATATTTATAACTTCATAACAGTACATCTGCAGTGTTTGTGGGAGTGCTCCTCACAGAAATGGGAGGTTTCCCCAGAGAACAGATAATTTCCTGAAAATGTTTAATCAGTCCATTTAAAATAGAATTTTAATTAGCCTAAAACCATATGTGGACACTAATGCTCCTCTGCAAGATTCTCTCATTATTATAAAATCCCAATAATGTCTTTTTGGCTTGCTTTTATTTGTAATGGTTCTTGGCACAGTAAGTTAGTGATTGAAATGGAGGAAATACGACCCTCAAGGCTCGTAAGTCTGAACATCAAATCTACCACCACTCATCCCCCACACCTTCCAAATTTTGGTCACTTTAACGTGTAGCCAGGGATCAGAAGTTGTGCATAATTTGAAGGTTTCTGATTATAAAGTTTTTCCTATCAAAACTCTTAAGTCTTTTATAGTATGCCTGATGTGGAGCTTGCTTTGAAAACCTTGGGTTCCTAAAGATGTCAGTGAATAACAAGTGAATAACAAGCAACTGAGAGGAGGGGAAAGATTATGATCTCTGTGAGGCTTTCTGGGACAGTAGTATATTTGGCTGCTTTTTAATACTGTTTCCAGAAAGCTCAGATAACAAGGGTTGGAGAAGTCTCTGTAAGCTACTAGTTAAAAGATCAAATATTCTTTTATACCCTCTCCAAGTTGGATGTGTGTTCATTTTCTTCTCTTGTGTGTATCAGCAAACCTTTTCACATGCTTCTGTATCATCACACGCTCACTTAAATAATGGAGTATTTCACTGCATGAATGCAGACTATTCTACTCATGATCTCTATTTTGTGTCTTCACTTTGAGAATTCTTTTTGGTTTATTCTGGGTATGGCTTGATCTTAATTTATTAGACAAAACACTTTCCTTTAAATACAATTATTTTAATTACTTTAATGCAGTAGTACATAATTAGTACTGATTTACATTTTAAATTTGCACAGTTTTACTTTAGAAAATTAGTTTCATTTTTGTCTATATGTGTTAAAACTCACAATTTTTATTCCTATGGAAATAAAGTTTCTGTAAAGTTTATACAAAAACATTCTAATAGAAAGTAAAAACTAAATTTTGCATATAATCTCTATATAATCATAATCTTTAACTTTTCATTCTCTTCCTCTTTTATGTATAAAATCTACTTAACAATGGAAAAATTGAGCAGTTTGAAAGCAATCAAAGCATGCAATATATTTATAAATACATATATTTCTTCAGCTGTCATGTGGACAAAAAAGTTGGCAAAGAGAGACTGAAATTCAGTGCTGACTTCATAAGAAATCGTACTCATTTGCTTTAAGTGATAGAGAACTTCTTCCAGAGCTGGCCCAGGTGAGGGATCCCACAGTGCTGATGGTGCAGAGAGGCTGCGTTGCTGTGCTGTGTGCCAGCACCAGAGCCTCTTGAGGTGCAGCCACACGGCGTGCCAGAGTGGGGAAAGTGATGCACAGTTGGCTGAAGAGCTGCGCTGTAAGAAGTAATGATTAATGTTCATGACTGAATGGACTTGTTTCTTTTTTTCTTTTTGAATACGATCGAACGTTGTAGTGGTTGAAATGAGCATGAGAAACTCAACCTTGCAGTCCACCTGCTGGATCAAAAGGTGTGATGGGCTGAGTGGTTAAATAACCAAGAGCTTCTGCGTTGTTGTTTGTTTGGAAAATCAGGATGTTAGCAATAGAAGTGCAGTAGTTGACGGTTTGCAGTAATTAAACACTCCGATTCCCCTACAACTTCTCATAAGAAAATACATCAGTAGGAATTGGCATTAGACTGCTAACAGACAACTTTTTTTTTTTTCCCCAGATTTTAACTTTTAGCTGATTTATTTCTTTCAGGAATGGTCCAGTCCTCCCAGGCACTGTACACACTGAATGTTCTCATTACCTTGAGGGAGGACACTGATACTATAAACGTCAAACATGGTTTCTCAGAGGACTTCTGAACTTCACCATAAACACACAGGTTTTCTGGTCTACGCAGGTAATTGAACACTCCCTCTTAAACCTTGTTGTTTTTCTCTTAAGGCCATCTTTCTGTGAGTGAGGTAAAGGAGGAAGGAAAAATCCTCAAACCCAATGTACCAGGGCTATTCTGCTTCTTTACAGCTATGGTGTGTGAGCCCCTACGTAAATGTTTTGCGTTTCAACCAGCAGCATCCTCAGTGCTGTTGTACTATCGTGTTCCTGTACCAGTCTGAAGACAGAAGACAGAAGAAAGCTAAAGAGGCCTATTTGTAGAAGCAGAGATCCTCTGAATTTGGAGAATTCACAAGAACAATGTACAGAATGTGAGAAATAAACTGTATTTTCCAGGTTTTCCCACATGCAATTCACCTTCTAAAATTGACAGCGACCACCTATTCTAATTTCAGGGATAATTCCACATGCTTCTATGAACAATTCATCTCACATCAGCAATCTGCAGCTTACAAGCACCTCTGCTGTTACTAAGTTGGTAACAATTTTGTCCAGCTTCAGACAAAAGCTTTTTAGCCATTTGGTGTAGCTCTAGTCAAAGGAACAGCCATAACGAAAAACCACGTTTGGAGTTGAGCTGCCTCTTGAAGAGGCATCGACAGTGTCTTTCATTTTCAGGTCAGAGGACTGGTATTTTTTAGTTTTATGAGAATTATGGAGAAACTTGAACAAATAACTGTTAGAGGATAAGCAGCAGGAAAGGAGGTACCTGTTTTACTGTACTCCAGCACTGTACTCCAGTAATGAGAGAGAGGAATACAGTTCTCACTGGGAGAGACGGCCCCTCCTTTGTGTGTGGAAGAGTGGCAGGAAAGACCTCACTGAAGGGTATCCATTTTCAGTGCTACCAAAAATCCCCAATGCTACAATTGATAAAACATATCATTCTCCAGACTTGGAAAAGTTGGAAAAGCAAATAATTAGTTAATTTGATTCATAACCTTTATTACATTTCTCCTCAGGGATAAGTTGTATCATTTTGTTGTTGTGAACAAATCACACTTTGTCCCTATTATAACTCAAACAGTGCAAAATACTGCTCATAACTGAAACTTATTTTGAAATTTTCAGTATTCCTACCAAGTTCTAAACTTATCTGAAATAAAGCAAGGAAGCTGAAGAAGAAAATAACAACTCTTGGAGCTGCTCTGCCCAGACTGTTCTTGTGGAGACCAACAAACCAAAGAAATCCAGAGCCTGTGAAAATCAAGGTACCTTGAATTTATAAAGATCTCAAAAAGAAGACTTGTAGACATGCTAAAAAGATGCAGGCATTCTTGCTCTTGGCCTTAAACTTATAACAACATCCATTCATCATTGTCAATAAATGAGGGATTATCAAAGTAAATTTACCAGGTGATTATTTCACTATGTTCCCATGCTCAGAATAAATACAAGATAATTCTTGAAGTCTGCCTACAGCCTCAGCTGCTGAGCTGACTTCAGTTTCTGGTAACTGTTCTCAGAACAGAGTCTGAAAACAGAACTGATTAAAATTATACAGTAAACAAGCAAAAATGATGATTACTCTAAAACATTTATTTACTCTTATTTCTTAGCAGCAAGCCTAATGATGAATTTCATTGAAAGGTATACATACAGTTTTAAACTGCTATGTGATTATACATAGAAAGACATAGGTAGAAAATAATAACAAAACAAACTATTCCAGATCTTATTAGATGCCAAAAAGTAAGACAGCCAAAATCGGTAACAGAATCATCAGGAAATCCTGCTGTTCAGGGAGAACATCTCACCACGGGGAAGTTTTCTAGCACTAAAATGACCTTTAGTCTTCAGATTAATCAGCATTTCTGTACAACTCTATACAACATTTTTCCACCTATACAACTTATTAAATATTGAGTATGTTTGACATGCATGTACATTCTGTATGTAGGGCTACACTCTATCATAGCTTTTAGCCTTTTAGAGAACTAACTGCTTGCATGTTTGCCTTGCTGTCTGAACAGGTTAAAGCCCGACAGAATAATTTCTAATATAAACCAGGATGTCTGATGGTTGTTTTCTTTTTTTGTGTGTGAAATCAGACCTCTGATCGAGATGCTCTTCCGTTCTATTGTTATGCGAATGAACTCTGATGAAAAGTACTTCCACAAGCATTAGTTTCCATGACAAATAATGTCTTGTGTATTTTTTTGTATACATGCTCTTACCTTAGTTAATTAGGCATCTCTTCCTTCTCTGCTGGAGTCCTAATTGTACACTAAAAAGAAATAGATGCAATTAATGACTAGTCATGTATGTATCAGAGATAAATTAGGCCAGTACAGAATGTCTTTCAAAGTTAATATTTCACAAAATATGTACATGAATCACTTTTGTGTGTTTTCCTTCAAATATAAGCACGTGTCCCTGGGAGCAGAGGAGTAATAGAGCATCCACAAAAATAGGTGAGTGTTGTGTGGGAGAATGACATGAGGTGGGTTTTATACTTTTGTACTTCTAACAGCAAGGATAGCCTCTTTGGGTGGTTCAAGGAGTGCACTTGTGAAGGGTACACAGAAAAGTCACTTGTCTCTCTGAAATCTTCAGTCAACAGTTTAAATGTGGGCTTGCCTCACAAAGGCCTGATTTGGTGACGGGTGGGCAGGAAAATGATTTTTGTTATTTATGTTTGCTTTGTCGTTATTACTTATGTGCTTACATGTTTAATACTGTAAGCATTAAGTGAAGCTACAAAATACTTAAACTGGAAATAAACCAGGCTAAAGCTGTAGCTTCACAAATCCAACAGTTACCACTGTACATTTTCAACAAATATGTTTGCAATACTGGCAGCCCTGATTGCAATGTGTACTGTTTAGGTAAAAAAAAAAAAAAACCACAAAACTTGTTTTCTTTATAATGACTTCCACACCCTCTAGTGTAGTGTACGCATGTACAAATGTTTATAGGTTCTTGAAAAAGTGCTGAATTATTTCAACTGGGCTAACAGGATTAGGTAAGGTAGTCTGAGTTCTCAGCGATCCACATGTCAAAATGAGAGGCTTTGTTTGTCTTCCTATTGGTTAACAGGCTCCAACTGAGCTGCTGGTTCAGGAAAGGTCTGCTTAGACACCACCTGCACGCTGGAGTGGAGTCAACTGTTGAATAAGCAGACTGCTAGCAGCTTGGACTGAAAGCAAGGTGCTGATGAGGGCTGTGGATCAAAGCCAAGTGTTGGGGATAGCAAACTTAATCAATGAGCTGACAGTTTGTGAAAGTCGAGTAGTGCTCTTCTGTGTGTGCCTTTTGGATAAAGCTGAGGAAGAGATTTGGTCTTTGGCAGCTGGTTAAGCAAACTTAATTGAACTCTACTGCCTGCTTTACTGTAATAGGTGTCTAAAAAGCTGGAAATCACAATCTGGAAGAAATTTTGCTGGAGGTTGCTTTTACTGAAGTGATAACTGGCTGGATGCAGCGCCTTAGAGGAGTGGGTCTCTGCATAGCAATGGATGATGAAGTTGTTATTTCTAGGATATGAATGCCATTTTCAGTGACAGCGAGATGCTATTAATGACCAGTTGTCTAAGTACCCACTGATTAACAGCTCAGCTATTAAATATTTTTCAGTCCAGCTCCCTGTGAAATTTCTGTGGAAAAAGCCCTTTGCCTTCCTCAGCAGACCCCCTTCTGTACCAGTCTTGACAAGGAGCTGGATGAATTGCATGTTTGCCCCGTAGGTGTCACCGGAGGACTAAGCATCTGATGTGTTGTGCTTCCTGAGACTTACCTTCATTTAAAACTATTATGTAAGTTACTGCTTTTTTTTTTTCCATGGTTAATATTTGCATAATGTAGTATTAGTCTTCTGAAGTCCGTCTGAGTTCATCTTCTGCAGCCTCTGTCCTGCTTCTTACCAGCAGTAACACCTACTACTCAGTTCTTGTTGCGATAAATGAGGAGCAGAGTATCAGTTATTCCATATTTGGATGAGTAATCTTATGCAATAGTGAGATTCAGTAATACTGTGCAAACTCTGTATCCCTAACACAAGACCAAGTTACAGGTACCACAGAGATCAGCTATGAAGATTTTATCTAACTATAGGCAATTCTTAAAGAATCTTATGTAGTTTTTGCAGTCTTAGACTTATTTTTAGATGCTGGATGACTAAAATCTGTGGGATGTGGCATGTAAGGTGCCATAATGTAACTGAACTAGAAGGCAGATTTTTAAATCGTGTTTTCAGAAACAGCTAAGCAATGCTCATAGAGGTAGTTCAAATGCCTAAAAGGTGCAGATAAGCACTGCATAGGATTTTAAAAAATGGGTGTGTGCTACAAAACAGGGATGCTGAATGCCTGTAGAAGCCTCACTTCTCTGCTGGCTTTCCAAATCAGATCTAAGCCTAATTTAGGGATGAATTTTCCCATAGGCAACAGGCTACTTCTGGTTCAGCGCTACAGCACTTCAGGAAAACTGCCAAGGAAAATCCTAAATACCTCCCCCCATTTTCTTGGCTGCTCACATTTGAAAATGGAGCTTTGGTCCCCAGATCAAGGATGTATTTTCATTAAATTTTAATAAAGCTTTATTATTGTAGAGCTGATAGCTGACTTACATCCCTTATTGAAAAAAAAAAAAAGATATTAAATGCCTGTGGCAAGACCGTATATGTAGTATATGGTAATGAGATTAATTAGTGTCTGTACTTTTCCAGAAATGAACATTCTACATGCTTGGTGCTTATTTTGTTGTCCTTAAAATAGGTTTTGTTTTTTTGTTTTTTTTTTGTAGAAAAAGCACTCCAAGTATGACAGAACTTCCTTTTTGTTTCAAATGTATTTTTTTAAAATGTACATGTTATTAGATCCTATATTAAACTGTTGCAAACTGAGACATGGACTTCAAGATATCATCAAATGCTATAATGGAAGATTGAACTTACTGCTGTTCTCATTAATAACTTTCATTACAGTGGAATAAGATCAAACTTATCAAGAAACTAAAAATCATGTTCCTCACTTATTTATAGCGTATATTTCCTTCTCATTAAAAATGAAATTCCCTTTCTAACAGGTTCTTGATATGCTCTGTTTAAATTCCAAATCAAGTCTTCAAAAACAGCCTATGAAAATGGATATCCAAATCCTGATTTCAAACATGGCAGCAAAAGCCCATGATTTTCAAGGTACAGCTGGAGAGTCTGTATGCAGGTGTGAAAACCAGAGTCGGTTAAACAAAGCTGAAAACTGCTAACGTCATAGCACTGTCTTATTCAATGGCATATGGTACAAAAAGTTTCACAAGTGAATGTTCTCTGTTCCACTTTCCTTAGAACTATTAAAGAGAAAAGAATGTAATTATCTTTGATTCAGGCAATTCATATCTGGATTTAGATGATACTTCTTCTGACACCTTTCTTTACTCATCATTAATACGCTCCAGCTGTAGATGGAGTTTCATCTGGTAAAAATTCTTACTTTCAAGGATTTAAATCTGTGCTAGTGTACTGCTGGACAGAACCAGGGCCTACATAATGATTCTTCCCATTGTATTTCTGCTTTATATTCATCACAGAATATAAAATAGCATAAAGATGGCAAGGAGGTTAAGAGCAGGAGGGGACATAGTGATCATTAGCAGAGTTACGGGGTAATACAAGCCTGATTGTTACAGTAAATTTTAAATTCTGGTGTTGCTACTACATTTCTGCCTGCATGTTTTACTAACTAGCTGAATGCTGGAGAGAGGACAGCAACACCGACCAGACTGATGCGGCCTTAAAAGAAAAGCCTACAGCCATGTGCTTTCCAACATTCGATCTCATGTCACAGTGAGCTTTGCCTTGTCTACAGAGAATAGATTTTAGCTCTGAGCACCATATGAAGGCTGAAAGGACCCAGCCCACTTGTTTGCAGGCTGCTGCACCCCTACCAAGCTGAAATAGTCTGAACTGCAACTCTGCCACAGGGCCAGTAAAAAATTTCTCTTATTTACAGCGTCTCAGCTGTCCAGTCTATGTAGATATAACACTGTGTAATAGAATACATCAAAGCAGTACTGTGGATTATTTTTCCTCTCTTGTACTAAAAAGAAATAGCTTTTGTGATTAATTTAAATGCAAAGATTGTACTACTAAATCCAGCGTAAAAAGAATCCACTACATTTTTTCTTCAAGAACTTGTATATACTGAAGTTTAGAGAAATCATAGACCTAAAGCCAGTAACACCCAAAACAATCTTTTCATAGCAACAAAATAATTTGCAGGAAGTACAGGTGATTTATTCAGCTGCAAAGACCATTGAATCACAAAGGTAAAAAGCATTTTAAATGACTAATGGTATAGCTTTTGATTATTGAATCACAATTCTGAACTACTGTGGTAATAGAAAGCTCATCAAGAATTTGCAAGTGCAAACTGGTAGCTGATTTACAAGTAAAATACCCAAGTCATCAAGTAAATTGTCATAAAGGAATCATCTAATCTAATCTGACAAAGCAGTAGGAAATAATGACAACAGAAAAGCTGAGCTGCGATGACCTCCTCAATTTTCTCCCTCATTAACTCTCACTGAGCTTATTCTTGGGTTGCAATCTCAACCCCATGTAAGTCCTGGCTACACTACACCCACTTAGATGTAAAAAGATGCAGACTATGCTCATTATGAAGCCAATGCTTTGCATCCAACCTTAGCAGTGTACTTATTAACATTACAAGTCTCTGGTGTTTTGAAAGCCAAAAGAAAGTGTAACTTACCATTCGGATTTTCCTTTTCTAGTCTCTTCCCTGTACTGGTGGCCCTAAGGTGGCACACTTTATCCTTTAAATAAAAAAAAAAGCCATGAATTAAGAATCAATAATAGAAGTTTGCTTTAGAAATAATAAATAACTCAATAAAGCTGTACTCTAGCATTCTGAACGCTGCCCTGAGTCCTTTGGTGTTTGTTTTCCATCAGCAAGATTCTGGAGTTAAATTACAGAGTCTTGAGCTTTAATTTTTAACGTTAGACAACTGATTTTTTTTTTTTTTTTTTTTTTCCTCAAAATCCCAGGGAAGACTACTCAAATTCAGTGATAGCATGAAGCTAATTTGTTCTGTTTGCAGGTTAACAGTGAAAGACTTCTATGGCACAAAACAAAATTCATATACACGATGAAGGGTATAAGCAACCCTTTTCCTTAAGCAGTGAAATCAGGTCAAGTAAATCCTCCCTCAGAAACAAGCACCTTCACATTAACAACAACAAAAAAGACCTATGCTGTATGCTGTTATCTTCTGCACACATTTGAGTCCACCTCCTCCCTGTGTAACTCCCCAGCTGATGGAGCAGCTCTGCTGTTCCCATCTGGCTGCTTTGCTGCAGTGACATTCAGGGAGGGACCCCCCAGCACTGCTGAGAACAGCTCATACTGAGCTGCTGGTGTGTAGTCTGGGTGCTGTACACCTAAACTGTTCTAAGGCCTCATGCTTTTGTTAATAAGTGTTCCATTGTGATGACAAAAGCTCCTCTGATTTTTTTCAGTAAATACAAACAAAAGGGCATTTAATCTCTCCTTGTTAGCAGTATCTGATAGCTCTCCCACTCCTAGAGCAGCAGCCTTAGTATTCCTCTTTCTACTAGATTTATTCAAAAGGCAACAATAAACTATTTTTGTTAATGTATGACCTCATATAAAACGAGGGCATAACCTCTTCTTCCAGCTATCTTGTTGGAAGTAATTAACAAACTTCTTCACTGTGCCTTTCTCCTCAGCCTATCATCTTGCTCTGATGCAATTTTTTCAGTGACTCACTGTGTGGGCTTTTGTAAATCTTGTTTTTGTGCACTTCATTTTACTCCATTCATTGAATATAAAGGAGCTGAAGAGCTTTTCTGAGAATTGTGAATTTCTAGGTGGAATCAACACTTTCAGACAGGCATAAAGCCTGATGCAGTCAATATATATTAACAATGTATGTTTGAAGTAGTCATATTTTTGTTAGCTGACAGTGCTCAAAAGCACATTTATTTTGTTCAGCTACAGAAAGATGGTGGTTTCATAAAAGATGCATGTACCTATGCCTCACTTAACAATGTAAAATAAAATCTTAGGAGATCAACATATTTAACTTGGGATTTTAACCAAATGCAGCAGCACCTAAATTCAACCACAATAAATTCAGGAAGCATCTCCAATAAGCACCAGTGGAAGCAGGTATCTACAAGCAGCAAGTTCCTTGGGAGCTGATGGGCATATAAATCATGACAAGATAAATCACAGCTCTAATTTTTTATCTCATATATAGGAGCCAAAGCACAAGAGTTTGTTTTCCAAACTTCTGACCAAGATTCCATCAAGAAACATAAATATTCAGACTCGTACCTGTGGAGTGGGCTGCAGTCTCTGTTTTTCATTCTGCCACTGTTTACATCTGTCAAGGGATTTGTCCACATAAACTGCCCTCTTTTTCAGTTGTTTCTGGACACGGATAAGATCTCCACATTCAGCAGGGATGTTGTGTTTCACAGCTGCCATGTCAGTGTGTTTTCTGCATGCTGCTGCAAAATGTAGAGATAAACATTAGTACCTCATTTAATTCTTCTATGATCTGAGTACTTTTTTCAAAGGCATGTAGTGTGATTTTGCCATTTGCCATTAGTTAAACTCACAATCCTTAGGATGGCTTTCCCTTTCCCCACTCCTTTATTTCTTTCTTTCTCTCATTCCCTTTTTTTTTTCTTTTTTCTTTTTTGTTTTTTCCAAATGAGAGAAATACAATGAATCAATGAAGTATCTACCATTAGTCTTCAGCAGCAGAGCAAGATCTTTCTTACACATTTCAATCATTACTATAGCCTGTATTCAAAGACTCACCATTAGTGACAGCTCACACAGTAATTTCCTTCTAGAGCTAAAGCTATAGTACAGACATTTTAAAGGAAATTATTGACATGTTAAGACACAACATTTCCACAATATTTCCCCCCTACTCCTTCTCCAACTTCAAACATTGCGTTTCTCAAAAGCTGGGGTTGAAATGTGGTCAGAAAGCATCATGCAATTTTACATGATTCTTTTTCTCCCCAGTTGTAATTATCAGATACACTGAGTGATGAGAAGATGTCAGAATCTCTAATCCTCCAACAGATTACAGTGCAGGTGCACAACAGAAGGGAAATGTCAGGGAGATGTATGCTATCAAATTCACGACTTGGTCCAAGGAGGTGTAGCAGCATGGCTATATCCAGGATATTGATACTGAGGTGGCTGGAGTCTATCTCTGTATGAGGATGTTGCTAAGGGACCATGAAGCACCTGTTTCAAACTGCACAGAGAATACAGTCACATTAAGAATTTAAACCATTATTATTAATTAGGTCAGTTTTTCTACTGTGATATGCACTTATATCTTTAGGTGAGGAAGGACCATGGTCAGAAAGTGAAGAAAACAGCTACTGTTTTCTCACCTTTTGATCACTTGCCATACTAATTTGGCAGGAATCTCTATTTTTTATTTTTCATCTCTGCTGTTTCTATTTTGACAGAATAATAACCCTAATGACTTGCATCTGAAATGAACATTCAGAGATCAGACCACACACACAGTAAGATGTAGAAGGTACAGTGTTCTTTTCCTCAGTGGTTTAGTGTTCATGCCAGTAGCACTGGGGACTCTAGTCTCCCTGTCACAGAACAAAACAGGCTGTCGCATGCTGCTCTATATGCTTTAATCCTGATCTATTTGTTAGAAGAACAGATAAGAAAAGTATTCACTCAGCATTCATTCATTTTGTATGTAACATTGTTAGTTACTTTAGGGTACCATTAAAGGAATTTGGTGGCAACATTTTGATGTGCTACAACTCAAATAACAACTGGAATGCCACCAGTAATTCATTTTACATGGATCTTGGGGCACCCAGGAGAGAACTTAGGCTCCACTCACTGCTGCCTTTCCATGGCTGGAATTAAGTGAGCACAGCTGAGCCCTCCAGTCTTTCCTTTACTTGGTTTTAATCACAATGGAGAAAGCAAACAGAAAGGCATAAAGTAACTCTGGCTCTACAAATCTTTCCCAAAGGACTGTAACTTTTATTTTTCTTTCTTTAATCTGATCTCTTCATGCTGCGATAGCATTAAGGATATAAATCACATGCAGGAAAATAGATGCTAAGTCAGTCAAAATCAAGTCACAGCAATTCTCCACTAGTTCTGCTGAAAAACACCAAAGAAGTTAAAGAGCTAAATTGAATTCTGTACCGTGCTTCCTGGCATCGCAGTATGTCTTGTCATAGTCGCTGGGCATTTGAGTGGCTTTTTGCTGAAACACTGCAAAGTTAAGAACATAAGAAGTTAGTCAAAAATGATAATAAAAGACATGAATTCTGGAAGAAGGACAGAGGCTCACGGAAGTAGGCTGAAATACATCTTATTCAAGGCTAAAAGTATTTCTCAACCCACCTGTCAGTCTAATACTAATTACTTGAAAAATTGCTCTGTTGCACAGAATGGTGGGATTGCTGATACTATAGATATCATGAAAAGAGCTTTGAATAAAATAAGACTTATTATATTGACATTATTTGTTCAGAAAAAACACTAACACACCTCAGTCTCAGAGTTCTTCACATGGTACCAACTATAGCTATAGCCTGTATCTTACTTTGGGGGAAACCTAAGGCAGGAAAACCAATAGTACCAGCTAAGAATAACGACAATACTTAAGTCAGAATATAGGCATATTTTTCTCTAGCTAATACAAGCTCCAAGAACAGCAAATCTTGACTGCTTTTTCCCTAATTCTTGCCCATTGCTCATTGTTGTGAGGCGCCTAGAGTACAGCCAGCCTGGGTGTGCCCTGAAACACTGTGAACTTTTGCAGGCAGCAGATGTAAACTCCAGATGGCTTCTAACTTAACTACTGTCGGAGACGCATTTCCCTCTTAATTCCCATTAGTTCTCAGTTCTGATTTTAGCGAAATCCCCTTGATAATCTAAAACAGTACTTTGCAGAGAAGTCTTACTGGCATTGCTACAAAGCAGCACGTGGCCATTTCAGTGAAACAAATCTTTGCTTTGGAACCAAGGCCAGGTACAACAGAGCTGTGCACAAGCAGCATGCTGTGCATGGCACCCTGTGGGCTGGGCTCCTTGCTCACACAGACCAGGGAAACCCAGCATCCTCAGTTTGCTCCTTGCCTGCCTGCTCAGGCAGCCGCATATGATGCAGCAGTTTCTCTTAGGAAACTTGTGAAATGGAGCATCAAGGGCACGGTGACTTTTAAACTCTGCACATGCCATATGGAGAGGTGAAGAAGAAACAGCTCCTGAGAGGGTGTTTTCTACACAGCAGTACTCCTGAGTATGCCAGTACGGGAGGAGATGATGAATGAAAACAGCTGGGGACTTGGTGTTCCTGAAAATGTTATCGGACAGGTTAAACAGATAGGGTAAAAGAACTACCCAGGCAGTGCGATCTGTCGACATTGCATATCTAACCTCAGCCTAATACTGATATATTTTAACATTTGTAGTGCTCCTCTCTGTGATTCCCAAAGAATCCTCCTAAAGGTGGCCGCGGCGTTACTTAAAATAGTGACTTCTTTGAAGAGAGGAAGTGGAAGTACCTCAACGCTGAGGTAATGCAGGCAGCCAGGATTTCACTGTGTAAGGAGGAGGAGGGATGCACTCCACAATGTCCCTGATTGGAAAGTACTTTAATTGATAGGCTATGAAATTTCTGCTGAGTTTTGCAGTCTTGGAGTAATCAGAAATGGAATTACTCTTCTAGTTTTTCCAACTAAAACTGTTAAAACCACTTTACTTGCTGCATCTTGTTGAAATTATTTTAGTTGGCAGCAAGTACTCAATGTGGGTGAAGTAAATGAAAACAAATTATTCCTGCTTCTGGAATGCCTGGAAAGATGAACACACACTGCTGCATGACTGCCACAGGGTTAGGGAAGACTCAAGTGATTCACTCTTTCATTCTCACATTTTAATTACTGCTGAAACTCAGCAGAATGAAATAAACAGGTTACTTTGTACAGAGATTCGTTCTGTTCTTGTGGAAAATACAGTGAATATTCCTACAGTAAAACAATATTATCAATATAGCATTTTTTTAGGTGTCAGAATGCTACGGTTGTTCAACTGAAAAATATTTTCAGATCCTCTCTGCCATAGATAATCCAACTGAAAAACAGCAGTGCCTCTATATAACATGAATCTTCAACAATATCTGTAAGATCATAAAGACAGTCCTTTTCAATTCATAATCACATTGTGCCTGGCTGAAGTACCTGAACAGGTCAAATACTATGAACTAAATATCCCTCCCTTTGGTTGCTACACAACACAGATGAAGTTCTTTGTATGCCCTAAGTAGAAATCTGAAATATTTAAAATCTAAGTCTCTTGTTTCACAAAATACTCTGCTTGCTACAGAATGATAGAGAACTTAACTGTGATGAGTAGAAAGTGCCTAGAAAGAGAGGATGCAGGTTTTTTACTATACCCATAGGTTGACAAAGAGAACATGAATTTGATTTTCAGAATGAGCTGAGATTCTGAGACAAAGCTGGGATGGTAAGGAATTATAGTTGCACAATGACATTTCACAAATTGCTTGATGATGGGCCAATAAGAAGTGATATAATAATCAAAATGCGGAAGAAGTTACATTATGAAAGCAGACAGCTCGTATTGGTAAGAGGCACGGATATGGTTTGTCATTTAGATTTTACTTTACCTGTCTACACTACGAAGCCACATTAATTCTGAAAAAACACACAGCAGTTTTGCACCTTATACTGCTGATTCAAGTAAAGTTTGACTGATTAACTGATCCTCCAGAATGTGCGAGCTAATCATACCATCACCCTGATGCTACTCAACACTTTTGGCAGAGCAAACGCAAAGAGGAGACAGCAAAACAACCACTAACCACCATTAATTTGAATTCAGTTTGCTTAGGGAAATTAATGATGCAGTTATTCATCAGCTTAGTTGAGCTGGTGTTCCAAACAAAATTATCTACTGCCCTGTTTTGTTTAGGAGACATTCAAAATTAAAATCCAGGGGAAACCAAATCTTTATAGAAACGCAAGGCAAATTAATTAATACACTAGGGTTGCACTTATTAACACATCTCAACTCGGCTGCAAACTGGAGTCAGTTAGCAGGCTAGCTGGGATGTGCTGCAGTGGGAGACTCCTGTCGTTGCCTACTCCATCCTCCCTGACACAATATTTAAACAGTTCAACTGAGCGTGCATATACCAAGGCAAATAAAGCTCACAAATTCTTTTGTTGGTGTGGATTAGATTGTAAATTAAATGTAGCACAGTGAGTGATGACAAATACACAGGGAATAGCACGGAAAGAATAAAGTAGGATGATGCTTTTTATTCAGGAGATGAGAACTATGCAGATGTTTGTTCACACCTTTTTAGATCTCATTTTCCTTTGGCCAGTTTTGTTTGCTTACACACAGAGCATTGCTCAGGGTGAGCCCTGGAGATGCAGTGCTCAGAGATGATTAAGGGCCGTTCCTAAAGCTATACAAAATATTTCGTTTTCAAGATTAAGACAAAAATTCTGGTGATTCATAACATCAAATCAGCTAAGGAAATGAGATACTGTAAGCAGTATGGCCTTTTTTATTTTTCCAAGGAATGCAGCTGAGCACTGAACAGAAGCGCAGCAGCCCTGTCAGTCTGGCCTAGCCTCGTCCAGGCACTGTGCAGAAGGAGTGTGCTGTGCAAGGAGACAGAGGTGGCTCAAGACCAGAAGTTGCCCCATCACAGTGGCAGTGGTGTCTGAATGACCTCAGACCATCAGAAGGGGAAAGCCTAGCTGTGCCAGTGTGGGAAAACCTGTGACTACATCTGCCCTGGTACAGAAACTGATGTGTTCTAAACACACAGTCAGACACTCTTAGGACACTTCTGACAGTACACAACAGTCATTTCATCAGGATAAAGACTAAGCAGTGTCAAGGGCACTCATGGGGACACCACACTGTCACATTGCCCCAGTACTTGCAGGCCAATGCACGTGGTCTGAGTTACAGTTCCAGCATCAGCCTCTCACCACAACTGCATGGGCTGTTGTCAGCCTCTGCCTTGCACAGCATCATCAGTGAGTCAAGGCTGATAAACTCCCATTTCCCCAAATGAAAAGTAAAATTCCAGTAGCTCAGTTAGCCTACTTGTATATACTGCCTAGGTTTTAAAGTGTAGATCCTACTTTGAAAGTGACTATTGAAAAAGGCTTGCGAAGCTCTGCTCTCCATTAATCAACAGCACCAAGAGGTAATCTACGCAGAGCATGGTTTTTGCCTAGCGCAAGCTTGTGACACCCATGTATTTGAAAGCTACTTCTAATCATAAAGAGGGCTATTTGCTAGCTCTCTTTGTTGCTATTCTCATAGAATAGCATAGTGCCGCTTTTGCTTAAAGCAGAAGATGCTCTTTCATAACTTCATGGACTTCAGCATGTTCTGAAAGCTGTCATGGGAATTCAGCCACTTGCTTTGTTCTGACTGACAGAAAAACTAAATTAAAACAGAAGCCCCAAAACACAATTCATTTTTGTTATGCAATGCTTACACTACTTTTTTTGTCAATAAACAACCTCATAGTTTTCCATCCCCTCTGTGGATGCAACAAAGACAGAAAGAAATCCTTCCCTTGCAGCTCTGCAGACTATTAGCACAACAGTCCAGAGTTCAGTCAGAGCTCAAAGCCTGTTTGTTCTGCAAACTCTCAGAGCACGTGAGGATCAAAATACAGGCGACTGTACAGCCTTAGTAGAGCCCTTCTGTGAACCATCCTCTATCCCTGTTTTTCCCAGAGAACCTGCATCTTACTGAATATCAGAAGGCAGTTCTGAAGATCAACCAAAACTGTGTAGTGAAGACCTGTTTCTTACAGCAATATTATCTGTTTTAGAATTTAAAAGGTATTTAGTGAATGGGCATGGAATACAGACTGGGGAAGGATGCCTGGGTAACTAAAAGCTGCTCTGTGGAACTTCTCTCTCCACCAAGGCCCCAGCATAACTCATATAAGTCATTGAAATTGGCACAGGCTCACAAGTCTCTGATATCAGGCTGCTGACTCGGGATTAGATATACTAATGAATGTGAAGTTCTGACCACTCACAGCAGCCACTGAAAACAATGGGATCTCCGCTCTGAATGAGTAAAGTGCTGCAGGACAGTGTTTATCCATGGCATTCTAGTTGCTTCGTACTGGGTGTCCAAAAGCTCAGTGGATATGGAATAACACTGCAGCTAGGGCAGGCAGGAATCGCATTTTAATCAAAAATGAGAATGGAAGAGTTTTGCATCTTATGCTTGTCCACTTTAAATACCCGATGAAACAAAACGCCCGGGACAAACAGCAGCATGCATATAAATATTGCATATTTAAGGATTGTATCCTAATGTTTGTGGCAGGGAGAAAGAAGTAAAACTACTAAATGACCTTAACTTCTAACTTTTTCATTATTGGACTTTGCATCTTCGGTAACGCTCTTTTTAACATAATATGTGGAAACAAAACCTGAAACCATCATCTGTTTGTTTGAGCGATGAGAAACGTACTAGCCACAGCAGCTTTATTTTACATCAGTTAGATTAAATTATAAAGCAACGGATGCAAACACATGCAGATTTTAGGGATGGATTTGAATAAAATGTTCTGGTTCTTACTGCTGAAACAGTCTTTTCAGTTCTGATTATAGCATTTTTAATATATTAAACTAGAAACAGGGATACTGCTAGACTGGATGGATAACTTTAACAGTTGCTGGAAAGGACAAACAAATAGCAAGAGAAATCTTCCAGCTGAATTTCTGTCACTTCTGCCTAACATTTCACTGTCTCAGAAATGCCTGCACAAAATGGAAGAGTGAGAAACCCCCAAGCTGGAAGCAGTGTGACTGCCAAGGGAAGCAGAGGCCTAAGTGGCCAAGTGAAGTGCTTTTAATTTTCTCATTTATGGTGCAGATAAATGAACTTGAAACAGAAGCTGATTTCACAGAACAATAGAACAATAATTTGTCTCCCACTACTTGCTTATAAAAGCCAGGTTCACATATGTGGTATATATGCACCATAGGCCCATCAAAGCAGTTGTGCTGAAAGTCTCCTCCTTAGTGAACAGTTTGGGTAGACAAAGCAGAAACCCTTCAGTGCAATAGAAGACAGTAAAAGCAACCTTCCAAATAAGGCACCTTCACAGTAAGGGTTTTCAAGTCACTGAAATGCTTATGATGGAAGAACAGGATCTGAAACACTGCTCTAACCATCCAAGTAAAGGCAGGTATTTCAAGATTTTTGTAATTTAACAGACTCCCTGTACACATCTTGCATTCTTGCAAGGTACTGTAATGATCCATCCTTCTGCCTCCCAAACCTGCTGTAGAAAGAACTACTAAATGATGAAGACATGCCCACACATTCCAGCCCTCTCCTGAAGTTATATAGCCTGAAGCTAGCTAGGAAGAATAAAACAGATCTTTGACTGAAACAGGAATGACAAAGGAGGTGCTTCTGTCTGTGATAGGAAGATTTTGGGTAGTAGTAGTCCTGCCTTAATGCACAGGATAGAGTAAGGAAGCTTCTGGTTTCCTTCTCAAACCCGTTTTTTGCTATCATTTATTCTTATGCACGTTCTTACACAACTGGAAGATTCCTTTAGAGAGAAGATTCATGTATCTTGGGGCTTATACTGAGATCCCTGAAAGTTCACATGAACTTCTGTTACTTTGAAATTTGGCTTCAATCTGAATTGGGCTAAAAGATAGCATTGTGTTTCCAAGAAGTTCCACCATTTTTCTCAGAGATGGTAAAAGGACACAATCCTTCCTCACATGGTAATTTCTAGCACTGCAAGAAGGGAATTTCAAAGGAGTCCTCACAATGGCATTTCTCTCTACTATTCACATCAGGAAAACAGAATGCAGTTAACAACTCTCAGAATTAAGGCACAACAATTTGATAAAGAAACCGAAAGGAAAAGCTACTCAAATAGTACATTCTGTATTATACTGTTAAAACAGACACACTCACATCTAGCCCAGTGATTCTTAATCTTCCATCATTTTGTCATATTTTTTTGTAAAATTAAACCAAAAAAAGTGATGTTATCTTGGATGCAAATTGGAAAGTATCATTAGTCAGACATGTTCTCAGCTCATTTGAAAGGTGCGAATAGGTAGACTGAAGCAAATGATTTGCTGGTTTGGAAATAGCTGAACAAAGATCTTAGTCTTTTAAAAAATATAGTATTCATAAAACAGAGCAGACGTCCACATTCTATCAGCAAATACACAGAAGCAAGCACAAACCTTGTACTATGTACGGAGTGTTCTCATTTCTGACTCCTGAATGCTCGGGACGAGGGGCAGGAACGGGCGGCCTGTTCATGATAAATGATTTGCGTTCTTTCCTTCTCTCCTCATCTTCCTCATCCAGTATCAAATCATACAGATATTCATCATATTCTACAAAAGTATATGGGTGGTCCTCTTCATCATCTTCCTCACTGGTATCTTGGTCTTCTCTGTAGCATGCTGTGTTCAGTCCATGTTCTGTTTCACTTCTCTCCTCCACAGAATTCCTCTCTGAAAAAGTGAAAAATTATGTTACATTGATAATAAAGAAAGGATATTAAGACTTAAGATTTTCCTAATGTAACTTATAGTCCTAATTTCACTTTTAAACTAAGGTATTCCAATTTTCACCGGCTTCATCGTCTAAGTCAGTAGAAAGGATATCTGAAAGGAATAATATCAGCTCCAGGGCCTTCTCATGATTTCACATCAGAATATCGAAATTAGATGCTAATTCATTAGCTCCAAAATGAATCTTACTTAAGAGCAATGCTGCATGCCCCAGTCGCTCCCACAAGAGTCATAGGAATACCTTACTTACTGATGAAGCTAGGAAAGGAGTCCCTGTGGATCTTTGGCATTTGGGGAAATCACTGTTTGCTGCTGCAACAGTACCTTAAGAATGGAAACATTTCTGAAAAACACTGGGTTTTGTCTTTCCAACATTTTCACTGTCCCATTTATTTTTGAGGATTTTCTGGAGAGGTACTATAGGGAAGGGTTAAAAGAAAAATTAAAAAGCTCTCTAAAGGATAAATGCAATATGTGATCTCTTATAATTTATGCTAAGACTGTTCAACACTCCACACCCAAGTGATCTCCCTGGGTCTCTCCCTACATTTAAGAGTATATCTAAACAGAACTTGCTGCCCTTTAGCTTTGGCATTTTACAGCTTTAAAAGGAATTGATAGGTTTTCTCATACCTGGGTATTTAAAACTCCCACAGACTGTTAAGAATTAGGAAGCTGTTATAGAAACTGCCAATTCCATGGCTGTTTTCACCTTTCCTTGTGCTGACCTACTCTTTCTGTGCAAACACCAAACTAAGTGCAGTGAGCCATATTTTCCTACTGTCGTAGTAAACTGTACACACACGTATCTGCTAAACTAGGCTATGCTCACTACCATAATTTTAAATCCTTGGGCTTCTATTTAATATTTGTTCTATCTGTTTGTGGTTTCAGAGAAGCTTAACAGTGCCTACAAGTGTGACACATTTACAAACGAGATGTATCCCTGAAAAACAGCTTGTACTATTAATACATATTGTATTTTGGTTCTGATAAATTAAAAAAAATTATACCACATTTAATATGAAAAATATTTTGTTTGCACACCATTATGAAAGTTCTATTTCTTTCTCTGCAGGATTTTCTCCTTTAACCCTCACAGTGGGCACTCTCATGCCACTGCCAAAAAGAGAGTCTTCAAAAGAACGAACTTAACTTTTAGGTCTTCCACAGCAGTAGCTGACTAAAAATACACAGCAGTGACTCATTGGAGCTCTTCTTTAAAAGAAAGTATTATCCCAGTTTAGCAGGATCCTGATAGCCCCATCGTCACATCCCAAAATGAAATGAAATGAAACCAAGCCTCACATTTCAGGAAAATTCACAGCATGTCTTAACAGCATGTCTTAACTGAACGAGTCACGCAGATGTGTTTCTAGCTGCACTGGCCTTATCAGCAGCACAGGACTCAGCATAGGACACTACACAGCAGAGAAGCTTTCTCTGCCAGTATCCATACGGATATATAGACAGAAACTGGCATCTGGCAGAGAGCAATGCATCACTACTTAATGGTGTAGCAACATGAGAGCTATCCCAAGATAGGCATTTATATCAAGCTTGCTCTAAAAAAATCCTGTGTGTCAAACTTGCCCCCTCATTTGTGCACATATATAGCTACAGTTGAGTATTGCACAGCAAGCAGAATGCATCTGCAGTTGCAATTTTATTCTCTTTCTCTTTGTTTTGAAATCTGCAACTTCCTGCATAAAACCAGCTTTTTCCTTCATGGCAGAAAACAGGAGAAAAACCAACCTCAAGCAGGCTATAAAGCTAAAAAGCTATCTCTGGGTACTTACGTGAGCATCAAAGTCCTTCATTATGGTAATTCAGGATTCCATTAGATTAAGCCACATTTAAAAACAGAGTTTGTGCGCACACTTACACGTGGAGTCTGTGACAAGGTTTTTTTCCTACGTGATTTTTAAAAGACTCTATTTAAGCTTGAATTGTTTTGCATGCTTATTTTTTCCCAATGAGAGAAAAAAAAGATAATCACTCCTTCTGAAATAGATGCAAATAGTATTTTCTGCTTCTCATACTTGAATCAACCCACAGCTGAACATGTTAGATTTTTACTATCGGGCTGAAATATTAAAAAAAAAAAAGGAAAGAGAATCAAGGCATTTCATTAAAAGTCACAATTTCTCCTTCTCCTTTTGGTTTGTAACACAATATAGTGTTTTGTTTCTAATCACAACGTTGGCTAAAATGAAGTAAAGTACTGCATTACTTCATTCTCTCATTTCTGTATTCTTTCCATGAAATTCATTCAGTCAAGATAGCATTCAATATTTTCAATGTAAATATTTTTTTAAAATTGAGAAAAAATACAAGTCCAGTGTTTTATCTCGGAACTTTATTGTGTAAATCCAGTATTTCATGTTATTAGGCACCTTTCTGAGATGTGCAGAGTGAGGAAAAGCTGAAACCTGAACCCAGCAGCCCACACCACAGTACCAGCTGACCTACCTGGTCATGAAGACCTTGTTGCAGCAAATTTCACAGCTATGTCTGTGTTGCAGAATTAGGGCCATACTGCCTAACTACTACTATTAGAAGTGATCGTATGCAATTTCTACTGCAGCACTTAATGTGTTTGCACTCACGTTTGTGTCTGTGGCTACTTTCCTCCCAAGCTCATACCTTGCGACAATTGGTGCGGCTCATCCTGTCTCAGGGTGCCAGGCAGATTTCGAGGAGGAGGTGGGGGCGGTTTCTTGGAGAAAAAGCATTCTCTGCTGTTTTCTTCATAATCACAGTCAGGTATGCTGGCATACAAATTGTCAGGACTGTTGACAAAGGTGTAGGAATCTTCCTCCTCAGTTTCCTCTGCACTGTCTTCTACACCACCTTTTTCTTCCTTTTCCACCTCAGCTTCTTGTTGACATTTTGATCCAATTCCATGTTGATCTCCTGGGTTCTGCTCAACTTACAATGTTAAAGAATGCTTTATTTCATTAAACATTTGCTATCTTGAAACATTTCCCATTTCAAGGATTCCCACAGAAGCAACACAATGGCTAATAAAATTTTTATGAACTAATGCAGCAGAAAGACTGTCAAATACATATTGCCAGTGATCAGCTTTTAAATATTTACCAAATCAACAGTGGAAGTTTTTATTATATCTTACTACTCTGGTACACAATATCTTTGTGCACACAGTATGCTAAACTATTTTGGAGTTATTGTCAGAATGAGATCACATCCACTTACCATGCCTCCATAATTTTTATTACTGGATTTTCAGTGCAGCACAGTGCACTACTTAGGAAAACAAGTTACACAGTTCTGTGAGCTATGGCTTTGTTTTTCTACAATGGATTTTGGATGCTTATTTATATCTCTGTAAAATGAAAATAGCACTGCCCTTGGAGACACAGCTCCTGTACTTCTGAGGAAATTCTGTGGGGCTTCTAGGTTTTCAGGGGGCTGTGGACCACAGGTTCATCCAGTGAAAGGATGAACTTTCAACACTACGTACAGCACCAAGATTTGGGTAGTCCATCTAAGTGACATAAAGTGAACTATACAGGTCTGTCAGCAGAATTACAGTCAATACAGAGCTGGTAATACAGAGCCCTTTCCATTCTGAGTTACCCCTTGGAAAGGCCTTTATTTCACCACTGGTTAAAGTGGGACATTAGGGCACATAGTTGACTGACTAACATGGCCAGCTGTTACAATTTACATTCTTTTTCCTTGCATCTACCCTGAGATGCTCCTATATACAGAGGAAACATGATAGAGACAGTAGATACATATCAGGGCTAACAGATTTCTAAGCTACGTTTTTAGTGTCAATTATATTACCTAGACATGCCAAAACAGCAGGCTTAAACACAGCAAATAAGAAATTGCATTTATACACAGAATATGAGACAGTTGGAAAGATACAATTGCCAACAAATCGGTAAGACAAAAACAAGATAAAGTTTAGTTTCATAAATCCATGACAATGCAAAAATATATCTAACTACAAGAGACTGTCATCAGTAAATGCAAATAAATAACTCTGCACTTTTCAAGGGAAATATATGATCACACAGATTAGCAACAAACTCATGATCAATCTGTGTTTAGGTTCATGAAGATCAAGATGCAAAATGCCTACTACCTGTGCCTCCACACAGGAGTTGCCCACACCTGTAAGCAGTGTATTCTCTTACATAAAGGCTCTCTGAGAACCTGTAGAATTCAGCTGTTTTCTAGATGTGAAGCAGAGACCAGAAATTTGCAGACATTACCAGGAACACTGTTTGCACTGCGATTGTCTCACAGAGGGATGATTTTGTCATCCCTTGCTTGCATTTCCCCATCTCCTAGGACATCTGTCCTCTCCAGAAGTACAAATAACATGGAAGTTATAAGTCTTAAAATAATTTGGTCCCTGTGTTTGTCAATAATCTCACCCAATGCAGCACATGATTTGCTACTGAGAAAGATGCCTCATTATGACTTACTTATGGCTGATTCAGCTTCCACGCCTCCCATAAGCATGTAAGCATCCTCATATTCCTCTTCCTCCTCATGGCTGGAGAAATCATCTGTTGTTTTAATCTACAAATCAAAACAGAGTAGAGGTTTTTTGTTGTGTTTTGCTTTTTGTTTTGTTTTTGGTGATATCATTCCTAAATAAAGCCATATAAGGTCAACAAAGAAACAACTATTCTGAGAGGAACAGCCACATTTTTTTCTTTTGGTTCTGTCAAAAAATCTTCAACGTTTTACTAACTGTAAATAGGAGACCGAAACATAATGCATTCACAACTAATGCAGTAGTACAGACAGAAGGAACGTGTGTAAAGGACACAAGGTACTGCCATGAAGCGATATCCAAGGAAGGATTCAAGCTAAATCATCTTTGCTCAGCACTGCACAGGGCTATCCAGACATTTCCCTACTTTATTCCAAACTCCAGAGCACTCATCGGTAATGAGAAAAATCAGTAGCAGAAAAACAGAAAGTCTATAGGACTTTACTATATAGCTCGAGGGTGCACAAAGTACAAGAAACCTCTGGAGAGCTCATTACAAACGGCTCCTGAATCCTAATGGTTGGCACCAAAAGCCACATATGCACTAAAAAACCAGAAACAGAACTGTAAAGCACGTTAGCATTTTCACCTCAATGCCCAAATGAGGCAGAGCACTGTTTCTTTTTCCTCTAGAAAGCTATTACATTCAAAATTCGGATCAGGAGGTCGGAACAATTGGTTCTCTAAAATGTTATCACTGTAGTTCTTCAGGTAGAAGAGGTAGAAACTTGGGCTCATCCATAGCCACTAAGAGCAGACTAACAAGGCAACCACAGACATTTCTGTTACAAAACTTACAAAACACACCTGTTAAGTGCTGATTTTCAGAAAAATATGGAATCTTGAAAGATGACTTTTCTTTTCAAAGAACTGAGTGGGACCCCAGTTCCTGTGAGAATAAAATACAAACCTATCCTGTGCAGGCACAATCGAGACCTCAGTAATTATTCAGGAATTTTGATGCACAAAATACTAACTCTGTGGGTTTGAACACATTAATCTAGAAGAGTATATGGAGACAGTAAGCTCCATACATTACTCAGTCTGCAAAATTAATTTCAAGTAGATGAAGAGACAGAGAAGTCAAGAAAGATAACCGATGATATCTTTCCACATGCTGCAGACACTGAATCTCATAATCCTGTGCCAGATTCTCAAGAAGTTTGTTCCCAGTATTCTGTTAGCCTGGCAGCTACAGCCATTGGGATAGCGGGGTCGTAAGTTTATTACAAAATTAATACCATTAGTATGAATAACCTAGAGATGTTCAAGGCCAGGCTGGATGGGGTCTTGGGTAGCTCAATCTAGTAGCTGGCAACCCTGCCCAGAACAGGGGGTATGGAACTAAATGATCTTTTAAGGTTCCTTCCAACCCAAACCATTCTGCGATTCCATTATTAATATCAAAGGGTGAAAGGGGAAAAAAAAATGAAGAAACTATTATTTCTGGAGAAGCGAGAATGCCTTCTTCCCTGCTGCTCTGTTACAAAGACATCTCACAAATGCCAGTCCTGCAGAAATGCATCCATCAGACAATGCATCAGGTGCCTCCCTTGCTTGCTTTTTTTTTCCTCTCGTCTGAGAATATTGCCTAGGTCTTCACTAAGTTATGTCTGCTCCCAGCAATACAAAACTCATCTTTGTCTTTTGTGCCCAAATAGAGAGCCCCATTCTACTTGAGCTTCCCCGTTATTTAGCTGGTTCCCCTATCTTTCACAGAAACAGGATATCTCGAAGTGTCCTGAAGTTAGCTGTATGTGCTTAAATGTAACTGTTCAACTGGGAAGAAAACAGGTCTTCTGCTGTACTTCTTTTGTGACACAGATGATCCTTGCAGGAGAAATCAAGCAAGCAGAGCTCTAGATGTAAGCTCTCCCACTATTACAGTAGAGGACTGTTTCAGACAAATTCTTTCAAGGTGTTCATCTTTGTTAACGTGATATATATATATATGTATATATCATGTACTATATATATATAGTAGAACGAGGTCAAAAGGGAAACAGAGAATGGAGCCATAAAAATAAACCTCGTTAATTTTGGTGACCACCTCTGGTAAGTAGAGAAAACAATTGCTACTTGCTTGTTTTCTTATTCAGCATACATATTTCTCTGAAAGGAACCCAGTAACTCACAGAAAACCAACAGAATAGATATACTTAATATGTATATTTTAAATCTGAATGTTTTGGAGGATTGAAGGCCAGCTTAGTGGCTTCTCTGATAATGCTGAATCTTAGAGAATTCAGGATGACAATCAGAAGTTTAGACACTTATCACACTTCCTAAAGGAGATACAGAGAAGACGAATAAATGGAGATTCTTTAACTAGACTCACAAGACTTAATGTATAATGATTATGTATAAGGTATGAATTAATCAGAAACCTCCTGCAACACAGTGCCCAGAAACGCTGTGCAACTGCAAATGGGGCAGCAAGACCAAAGGCAGTGAGTGTCCTTCTGTCCTTCCTTGTTTCAGGATGGGAAGTTACACAGCTGAATCAGAGTAATGCCACAGCTGAACTTGCAGTGCTTCCACAGGACCCTGGATGATCACATTTCTTTCAGGACTGGAGTGTTATATATGCTTTGTCACAGACTTTGAACGTAATAGCTCAGCCAGCATGATGTTCCTACAGTAGAATTTAGGGTGTGGTATACAATATGCATACAGACTTGAATTTTGAAGTTTTTTGAGACTGTCCTACAGAAAATAGCTCTTTGGTGTACACTAGGATTTCTTAAGAGTGTCAAGCAAACATCAGGAGGAAGAGCTTGCTTTAACAGAAACCAGTATTATGGAAAAGTACGGATCCGCTAATGAAGGACCACTAAAAAGCACAAAAGTGAGAGTCAGGAAAGTAAAATTTACTTCAAGATGCAACAGGAACATTAAAAGTGCTCTGACAGACCAATGATATTTTAAATCCTAAGACTAAAATTAAAAAGTATTTAGCTTTCTTTCAGTTACATATTTTAACTGTCTTGATTAAGTCTTGTGTTGAGGTAAAGACCATCAGAACAAAGGCCAAGTTTTTGAACAGCTCCAAAGCTGTCCCTCTTATGCAAAGCCTGAATGGATTTACTTCAGTTATTTCTTTTGGAAAGCCATTATCATAAGTTGCCAGACAGTGGTAGCAACTGTCACAATCCATACAAGCTTACTGGAGAGGTTGTAAGGGAACGCAAAGCCCAGATGCAAGTAGAGCAGTGCTTTTAAAATGACCTGCTGCTATACATGTGGGTACATGAATGCCTAGATCTTTCAGGTTGGTGCATCCTAAAGTAGCAGTCTCTATTTTCTCTAAACATCACTATTAATGAAAACCAAGGGGATGTGGGCCTGTTTGCAGTTGTATTTTTCTTCTTCACTACTGACTCGAGTAAACCTGGAAGTAAATGTGAGCTTGGAACACTTCATATCTTCACGGAATTGGATAAGAGTATGGCCAGCCATAAATCACCTCTTTGGATTGTGGAGTTGGGAGGAATTTGAAAAATCTTCCCATTATCTAAATTGCTAATGGAATACTGAACAGTAGAGGAAAAAAGGACAATCCCTTATGCAACTCTAATCAATATGCCTTTCCATTTTGACAATGAATTGTTAAAAAATAGCCTTATGCAAACATTTCATATTATTTGTGATTCTTGCTAGCTGCTTTTCATCTTGCACCTAAGTTTTCTTGTAATGACCTTTAAGTGTCTCTGCTACACTTCTGAGTTTGCCCTCTGTTACCTGATAGTTTTCACTTTCTTCAGACTTCATTCTCCTATTTGAATTGATCTCTTGCTACACTTCAAATCTTTCCTACATGAAAAAGCAAATTCGCACTCCTTCAAAATCTACTGCTATTATTTCACATTCTCATCTTAAGAACTTTGTATATACAAACATATCCTAGACCATTCTCATGAATTTTATCTTCTGCCTGGACATCCTCAATGAGTATTTTCTGCTTGGATTTAGAGAAAAGAATCCTGTAACTATTTCTCTCCCTTAAATTATCAAAATGTTAAAGCATTTAAAAATGTGCTGGATAATGCCTCCTGCTGTATTCATTTCCAAGTTAGTATTTTAAAAAGTCCTCACTACAGCTAAATCCTGTTTCTTGGTAGCCCCACAAGTTAGCTGCTCACTTAGTCCTCTGGTCTGACAGTCTCTGCAGCATACAGTCTGAGACACTAACAGTCTGCTTTTCCACTTTGCTTGTCCCCAGGGATGCTCAGCAAGTGTATCAGAACCTCTCTGTGACCTGGACCTCTGGGCAAGACTATGCACTGCTGGTAAACAAGAAGCATTTTTTCCCATTTCCCTTTGGCTTCGTTTCTCTAAATGAAATTGCAGATAAACTTGTGCCTTTCCAGTTTGTTAACACGTACCAATCACTACTGATGAGTATTTGCAATTCTGGAAAAGGAAGATAGCATAAGCAACCTAAGTCTCTATTTTTGAGAAAAACAAATTCTAGTATGATCATGTGAAGTTCTCTACTCCCATAGAAAGGAATGGTTTTCATCTACTCTACGCCTCTATACTGCGAGGTGGAATATCTTATATAAATAAGTTGCAGAGAATCTATTTTCCTAATTAAGAGAGCTGTTAAATAATTTCACCACCTTTTCCAGTGACTTTCTGACCTGGAATGGAAACCTTATTGATCTCTTCAAAAATGGTATCCACAGAAAACTAGGACCATGGGAAAAGCCCAGCAGGTCTTCCCTCAAAGTTTACTTTCATGAGTGCTCACATTCTGTGTCCTATGTTGGTTTTTCTGATCTCAGGAGCACAACTACATTTTCGTAAATGATCCCATCAGTTTTGTTTCGTTACTGAATCATTTGTTGGTTTTGACTGTAAGGGGTTTATTTGAAAACTCAGTTTACTTTTTTATCTAATGTTAAAGCATAGTCATAATATATTTCTCACCCCTACGTTGCTTCCAAGTGTCTTCCACACAGCCAACTCTGCATTTTAATGTTAGCTGTTTTTGGATGGGTGACACATCACATTTCGTTTAGACAGGACTAAAATCTGCAGAAGGAGGATTGGGTTCCAACTAAGTCCTAGTAGAATTATAATTTTAAGGCTAACTTTACGGAGCATTTCACAGTAGTTTCTGATGGACAAGTACTGTTGATAAAGACGACAAATTTATCTTCTAGAAAGAGCACAACACCAAGATCAGCATGGAGAGCCCTTCCCAGAGACAGGGCTGTCCTTCTGGCCTATGTGCATAACATGGCCAATTCTGTGCCAGCTGCTGCAAAATTCAGCAGCAACAATAAAAACATTGCTTTCCTCTGCTATCAGGTATTAGGTGACATACTTGAGAGGTTATTTATTTCCATAGGAGGCATCACCTGTGCTCTGAAGGCTATTAAATAGAGGGCTTCAATGCATTTCCAGATGACGCAGATGCAGATCTCTCAGTCAGAAACTGCAGAGGTGGGAATTGTGTGCATCTTTTAGCAAACCACAATCATGGCTACTGCATTCTCTGACTGGAAGTGAAAGAGGAGTAAAAAGGATGGAAATTGGCTAACTCCTCTCAGAACCTCAAGAGAGAAGAAATTGCTTTCTTCAGTTGGGTATTTCTTCCATTTCTCTGTCATGGACTTAACAGACTTGTTTTCAGAGCCGTATTCTTGCTTTTAGGATGGAAAAGCTGGAAAGAAACACAGCAGCTGGACATTTCCCCAGGCCTGGGTGATGTTCTCATAGCACACCTCAGACCCCCAGCCCCACCTGCGTAGTCCCCAGCAGCAAGTGAAGTAGAAAGTACCATAACCACATTGCCATTTGGCAGCCATCTTCACAGCTATTCTTCCTGCTGTCTCACTCTCAGCATAGTCCAGCCAAGACAATGCCCTCTATCACTGGATCTGTCACAGCTTTCCGGAATGCAAAGAGAGAGAAGAGAACCAGATATGCTCTAGCAGATCTTTTTCATTTGCACCCTCAGTACTTTCTGAAACATAGGCAGACAGTTGGGAAAACACTTTCATTCATTTCTATCTATACCCCTGAGCTACAACCTAGTGACCAACCACTCTGATTATCAAAATTTTCTGACTCTCAAGTTTGCATATTATCTACACATTCTACAATGTTAAATATTCATCAAAGCACTGGGAGTGTTTTAAGTATTTATTGCTTCTTTTTCTCAGGGCTCTGTATGAGCACCTGGAGAAAAGACTGAAGAAGCCAACTTCATAAATGATTGCATGCATCAGGACAGAACCAACGCTGCTGTTCATTATCTTCATTAATGTTACACACTTGCACTACTCTATTGCCTTGCTTGATAACTCAAGCTTGCAAAAAAATCCTGATGATGGGACAATGCAGATTTCTCTAAAGCATAAGCTTGGTGAAACTAATTCAATACAGTCACAAAGATAAAAAAGAAAAAAATCCACTTGGGAATAATCTGGTTTCAAAGCACTAGTTCTGCTGGGCAGGTGGGAAGAGAGGGGGTGGAGAGCAATTCTGCTGCACATGTTCTGCCATGAAATGCTGAAACAGAACGTGGTTTTACAGCAGCGTGGGCTGAGAAGGCTGGGGCTGGATCCAGCCCTTGAAACACTTGAACTCGACCTTCTGACCTCAGCAAGATTTGTCTTAGAGAAAGAACAGCACACATTATCCTGACAGCCAAGAAGGTTGCTTTCTCCTGCTAGCTCTCCAACTGCTGGAACAAGCTGCTCAGCAGCGATGAACCCAGCCTTCTCAAGGAGTGAGGCTGAGCCATCCCTGATGCACTTGGGGTTGCTGTGCACAGGGAGGCCCTGGGCTCCCTTCTCCATTTCACCAGGGATGCAGGAGCAGGCAGGCCCTGGTGTGTAAGAGCAGCACAGTGCAGAGGCACATCTCAGGCTGTGCTCAGGACAACACAGAAAATGCAGCAGTGTTGAGACCTCTTAAAGATGACCCTTATCCTCAGCAGTACAATTTTCTTTTGAAGGCATTTTCCTGTTGCTTAAGACTGCAGAACCATCTTTCCCTGAGCACAGATTTCTCTTTTTAAGACATGCATGTGTATAATTTATTTACGCCTATGGATTTCAGTTTCACTGGCCAGTTTCCTGCTTTACTCAGCTCACATCAAGAGTACCACAATCTTACAGACCACCATATTTAACTGCTTACAAAACTCTTCTTAAAAAATGAAAAAAACCCCAACCCTATACTAAATTAGGTAGGTAAGAAATTATGACAACAGAATGACAGTAAAAATAATATTGTGATATTTACAGCAATTAATAAAATTCCTTCTGCATACACTTTGCCAGAAGTTCCAACAGCTGCCTTATCTTCTCCAATAGTAGAAGATAATGAAGTGTTAGAACCTCATGCCAATGTGCTCGAGGCATATTAAGGCACATAACTATCAAAGATGCACAATTATACGGAATAAAAGAAATGAGATATGAAACACTCCACTGCCAAAATGTAATGATTTTGGGATCAATTTGAAGTACATGTATGACTCAGACGATCTGCAGCCTATTAGGAAAACAAACAAAACTGAAACATCAATGGATACCCAACTTTTGGTTCAGCTGTTTTAACACGAGCAAAAGAACTGCATCATTTGAAGTAATCTATCATAATCTTGTGTAATAGTCTTTTGGACTCTTGTACTAAACAATTTCATTTGCATGTCTGCCTTTAAGTTTATCACAAGCAGATTTACCGCACCATGTATCAGCCAGCTAACATTCCTGAGTTGATCCTTATTTGCATCTTTATTTCATCTAACTTCACACTTTACCCGTATGCCTGTCTATCAATCTTTCTGAAACTTCTGAAACTGAATTTCTGGAGAGGAAAAAAAAAAAAAAAAAAAAAAAAAAAAAGCAGCTCTGCCTTTGAACCATTTCATCACCATGGAGGAACAGCCAATAGACAACACCACCAGGCTAAGTAAAAGTGCAGTGTGTGTGTCAGTAACTGCATATCTTTCTGTGTTTCAAATGTCCATTTATTTTTACAGAGCCTTCAAAAGAGCACAGATTTGAGAGAAAAACATTACTGCAGAAAGGAAAAAGTGTGCGGGGGGTGGGGGGGGGGGAAAAATCTTAATCACTAAACTTCATTTACTGCTTTATACAAAAATGCTTTTTTTCAACCAGATCACTGCATTCTCCACTGGAAGAACTTGTGCCCACTTTCTCTTTCCTAAGCATTCTGTTGTTCTCAAACTACTGAATACCAAGGGATTTTTCTTCTGAGCATTCAAAAATAAAATTTCTCCTCAGACTCATTTTAGCTCATTTCTCCTTTAACAACAATTCTTGTTCCTTCACTTTTCACACACCCACACGACTCTCTGAAAGACTTTCAAATCTCATAGAGTACTGATTCTACTGAACAAAATATCCACTGCCATTTGACAGGCTGTGTAATCAATGCAAGCTCCACAAAAGCACTCCCATCTCACCAACAGGTTAATTTTTCAATCTAGCAGAATACATTTTTTTCCTGCTTTTCTTAATTATTTTTCTGGGAAAAATAATAACCATTCTCCAGAGAGCTTCTCTTTCACTTGATGACAATTATTCTGTTTGAACTTTTAGAGTAGTTACTAAATTACTGCTCCCTTAACAGACTATGGGGTAGCAGAGAGTAGGTGGAAGGCTCATTAAGTACAATGGATTGTGTAGGCTGTGAGAAAAAGAACCCTTTCTATAAGGATTCCCCCCAGGAATGTGAATATTTTGTGTAAGTATGAATGCATTGGACCTGGCTAGGATGGAGTTAACTCTTTTCATAGTATGCTGCTGCGTTTTAGATTTGATTTAGTTAATGTTATGCTCACCAATAAAAATGGGGGGAGGAAGAAGAGGGTGGGCTTTCTAGCTTACAAGGTGGATGCTGTTTGGAGATAGGCTGGGCTTCAGAATGCCTGTGGGAGGTGGTGAACGACTTCCTTTGCTTTGCTTGTATTTTTTTTCCCCTCTTTCCTTTACCTACTAAGCTGTATGAATTTTGATCTATGAGTTCTCTCGCATTTGCTCCTCCTGCTCTCTCTCATCCCACTACAGGCAGGGCAGAGGTGTGTGAGTGAGTGGCTGTGTGGGCACTTAGCTGCTGACTACAGTCAACCCACCATATCAGACAAGTATAACCCTCTAAAAAGGGACATATGTGGCATAACCTTTATTTCTAAAGCTTTTCAGGCTATGTCAGTATCAGTAGCAACCACCACGCAACGAATGCTTCCTTCTGTCAGCTCGTGACAGTTCTCCAGAAGCTGCTGTCCAGCTGAACGCAACCCTGGCATGGCTTCATCTGGGCCTCTCACACCTCCCCAATTCACACCTGCGATGGAACAAAAAAAACGCTCTATTTGCTCAGCTAAAAAGAGTCAGCTGCAGTGCCTGACTAACACAGAGTAACAGAAGAGTTTTAGAACTTATACCTATTTATTCCTGCATTCATCTAGTTTGCACATGCACAAAAATTTTATCTGCAAAGGAAGAAAATGGTCTCTGGCTCTGAAGAGCTCTTTGATTCTCTTATTCAACTATAATATGAAAATATGAGAATGTTGGCTTTGTAAAGCATATTTTTTACATGACCGTAATATCAATAAGGGCTGCAAAATTCTTCAGGGGTACAGTAGCTAAACAATGGTATCTGAGATGGAAACCAGACAGTGAAAGAGAAGACTTGCAGAAAAGTTAATGTTGGCACAACTGAAGAGCTTATGCTTAAAAAGGAAGAGGAAATATCTTACGTTTTGTAAGTTTTTGGACCAGTGACTATTTGGAAGGTAAGGACAAGGACAGGGAATGCTTTGAGCAAATAAACAAGCATACAGCCCGTGAGTCTTCCAACCCCCTTCCAATACAATGAGGATGAACACAGTTTGATGGAGAAGAGCATACACAGTACTTCAAGATGTTGCGTTTCAAAACCCTGTGCTCAAGATTTTTTAAAAGCATCTTATTCACTGGAGTCAAATGCAGTCGTGCCTATGCTACTATCAGAACATCTATGATTTATCTAGCTCTACAGCAACAGTAAATTATTCCCCATACCCTGTTTTGTATTCTAAATATAGACACAGTGTTGCTCTACAATGTTAAGCAGATTATGTACTTTATATCAAATTTTGGAGATATTTTATATTTTTTGGAGAAAAATTTTGGAGGCTGATAAAGTCACAGTACAGCTTGTGTTCTGCATTCAAGTAACAGTATATTCTAAGCTCTCTGATGGCTTCTGAGATTTAGCTCTTTCCTCTTGATCCTGCTGTGTTCCTGGAAATCTTTCTTCTTTCATAGAAACCAGCAGGAGTTTTGCTCTGTCTAGCCAACATTATTTTTAGAACTGAATTTAAGAGGAGTGGGATAAAGAGCCTACATCTGTGAAATGCCATGGTATTTCTAGAATAAGTTCCAGAGACATGTGCTATCAATAGTTTTCAGATACAGGCATTTATATTCAGGTTATAAAAAAAATCACCTTTACATTCCCAAACAGTAGCTAAAAGAGGATGAGAAGACTAGTTCAAGTAGCAGTTATCATCTGGACTGCACTCAACTGCATCAATTAAAAGGCTGCTGTCTTTAGGTTGTGTATACACACCAGCAAAAATTATCTACCAAAGCATTTCTTCCATGGCAAAAATATGGGTACAGCATGTGCTAAAATTAGACACTTCATGGGAAACAAAGACAGGAAATAAAGTGAAACACAGTTCTCCCTTCAAAACACATATCATGCAAATTAGACCTCTAGTCAATCAGGTATATTATTAGCCTCAGGAGAACTTTGTTTTCAAAGGCCAACCAAGGTCCTCTCTTAGTTTGCTTAACTCTGTATAGATTAAAACTTGGTGCATATTTTGGCTTTCAGATTCAAATATTAGAAAATTGTTGCTGGTGACTCTGGTTAATTGTTTTAGCTCAGGTACATCACATATAAACTGAAGGACAATGACAGTAGTCAAAGCAATTAAGAGCTAAACAAGAAACAGGCTCTGCTGCACGCTTTATCTCCTCTTTTTGTAAAACACAGATCATAATTATGAACTCTATAAGCAAGTTTTAAGCCAAAAGAGGCAAAAAATCCAGTCTATCTCAGGTCAGTTTTGCATAAGTATGCAAGCAATATGAAGTTCATCTTCATGACTTTTTTTTTTCCTTAAAGATGACACTGACAACAAAACAAATTTCACTGATTTGCAGTGAGAAGCAGGAGTAACACTACTTCACTTAAATGCTTCTAGAGAGAGAAACTCCTGATGTTAGAACAAAAGTTACACAATACAATACATGAGTTCACCAACAACAGGACTGAAAGAAGTAGGTCAGTTTGTCCTGGTCTTGTGGTTGTTTCCTTCTGCCTGCTCCCATATCTTAAGGAATGCATCTAGTTGTCTCTGCTGTATGAACAGCCACAAACCAGTGTGCAGCCACTTTGATACTCCTCACAGAGCTGAGGGATGCGACCTGTACCAGGGGCCAGTTGTAGTTAGACTCTCATGACCTCTTGGAATATATGAAGTGATGCACTGTTTCTCTTGTTCCTGACTGCCAACAATTGTAATGCTACTTTTCATATAAAATCCATTAGAATTTAAATACACCTGTTACATGCATTATTGCTTGCCCTCTGAATTTTGTATGAGCAAATAAGGGTTGAACAGTCTAACGTTGAATTATCTGCTATATACCATAAGATCTGCCATTGCTGAAGAAAGGTTAAACACACAGGACTGTTCCACATGATTGTGAAATAAACGCAGCCTCTGACTGATGGCTGAAATAAATCAAATGCTCCTAGAAGGGAGCAATTGGCTACCTGCTAAAAGTTATAAAATTCACCTTTTATGGCATGATGTGCATTGAGGCCTGTTCTGCTTTGAGAGAGCAAGAGAGAAGTAAAGACAAATTATAACTAAGATACAGATATATATAATTTCTATAAAAAAATCTAATACTACTTTTTCATTTGGCGGGGAACCAATCAAATGGATAATCAGCCTTCTTTTATGCTAATGACATCAGTACTAGAAAATGCTTAGCAAGCACAGCTCACAAAAGATGTTTTTGACAGTCATTTTAAAGGCAGCTGTTACTAGATTAGAACTTGATATGAATATGGATTTCAAACATAACATTTTCAATGAGCACTTTCAGTTCTCAAGACCAGAAAGGAGTAAAGAACAAAATAAAAGCAGAGGAGGACGGAGCCTAGGAAGTGAGAGAAAAAAGAGAAAGCGGCTTGTATCTGTTGCTCAGCACATGGCTTCCTACAGCACCGTGTTCTTACTTAATAGCAGTAGTGTTAAGACTGCTGCAATTAACTTTGCTGTCACTTACATTTTTCTAATTCACAGTCAGGATGCAGAAGCTAAGTTACTCAGCTTTTAATTCAGAGCAGTGGGCCAAATTTTTCGTTTGGCAGATATACCTGCTGCATTAGAGTAAAACATGCTAATGAACCTGGGATGCAGTACATTAGCGGATTGTTTTTTCCACTCCCATCTCTTTCCCAGACACGTTGCAGCCACTACCATCAATAATACAACACTATATGACAGAAGAGCAGTATGAGCAAATAAGGATATTGCAGCTAAAAGCAAGTGGGTTCTACCTTATCACATTAGTTGTTTTTTTAAGGGAATTTTGTTTTTTCCTAACAGCAGATACAGTTGTGAGTTTGTTCATTTGTTTTTTAAAATTAAATATTTCCCACCTCCTTTCCATTTTTTCTCTTCCTTCTGAACACCAGAGTGTAAAGGCTCGGTATCTTTACAAGAGCTGAGGAGCTGGAAGGTCCTCAGCAGCAGAGAAGAAAGAGGAGAGAAACAGCAACAGTTGGTCAGGAATCCTGTGTTATTTTTTTCCCTGAGGCCTCCACCAGTCATCTTGTAGCAGCTGCACCACGTGCCTGCAGGATAACACTCTTGGGTGTTAATACTTTACATGAAACTCTAAAGCATAAAACTCTAAAGTGTGTGTGTGTGTGTGTGTGTGGGTGTGTGTGAAAATACATCTAGGAAGGCAGGGAGAATTATT